TGGACACCTGCGCAGCTGCTCTAGGTGATCTTGTTTGATCAGGGGGGTTTGATTAGATGCTGTCCAGAGGCCCTTTCCAACCCCAACTATTCTGTTTCTAATCAACTAACAGTTCCAGGTGTCCGGCTAGATTTCTAAGCAATATATGAACATACTGTGCTGAAAGAAATTACTAACATGCATGTTTTGGATCACATTTCCAAATACATTTCTGGAGCTGGATCTAAAGTCAATTTTTTTCTAGTTTGTTTAGGGAAGAGTTGTTTGTCAACTCTATTCTCAGCCCAGAGCTACAGCCCTCTCCATAACCCTCTGTTAAAGTTAGACAAAGAGCCATCACTACAGCCTTTTCCGAGAGCCACATCTAGAGCCATTTCTACAGCTCTTTCCTGGAGATGGATTTTAGGCCAATTTTCTAGCCAACTAGAAAATTGGCTAGAATTTTCTAGCCCCTTCCTAGAGCTAGACTAGAAAAATTCTTGAGCCATTTTTTAGATCTGGATCTAGACTCAATCGCCCAGCCATTTCTTGGAGAGGGATCTAGAGCGCTCTCTCAAACTCTTTTCTATAGCCATTTCTGGAGCTCTTTTTATAAAGACCTTTTCTAGAACTGTATCCAGACCCTTTCCTGGTGACCTTCGGAGCCCCTTCAGTAGAGCTGGAGCTAGGCCCCATGTCTGGAGCTGAATCTAGACTTATTTCTAGAGCCCACCCCTTCTCCCTTGAGTCTATAGAAACTGTAGTCAATTCAGCAGACCCTTTCTAGAGACTCTATTCCAGAGGTTCTTTTTTCAGGGCTGCATCCAGAGCGAGTTATGAAGATTCTTTTTCTAGATGTCTGCCTCCTCTAAGCAGGACCTAGCACATTTTTAGGAAATACCACCTGCCCCCTTATTATTTTTCCCCTAGAGCGAATCTAGAGCTCTTTATCTAGCAGCTCCTTTCTAGAGCTGGATCTAGAGAACATTCCCAGTATGCATCTATAGAGCTGGGTCTAGCACAGCTCCTAGAGGCCATTCCTGAAGCTGGGTGTGGAACAATTTCTGGTGTCTTTCCTAATTCTGGCTCTGTAACCATTTCTGGAGTTGGATCTAGACCAAACTGGTTCTGAGGATACTTCCAGAGCCTAAGCTGGGGTCTTTTTCTACACTTTTTTTCTGTAGAATACTGTAAACTGAAATAGCTTTTCACTTGAGAATTCACTTTGAGAACTATGTGAATAATATCAGTGTTTAATAAAGAATTTTTAAAATGGAATATTTTGAATATGGTGAATTACTGAAAAACAATTTATACTGACACAACCTCAAGCCCATTAATTCTCTCCATTCTTGTTATTCAAGGAAATATTTAGAAAAAAAAACACCCTGTCAGTTTCCATCTAAAATTAAAATATTTACTACATACAGATTATACACACACGTTATTTCTCTGTTATTTTACACAACCGCTATTAAAAATATGAACCAAAGTTTTATGAGCGTCTCCTTAACCAGAAAAAGATTGACATGGATCACCACAAAATACTCACCTTCAGGAAGGGCTAAATGTAAAATAAAAGATCTCCCAAATCATCACTGCAATATCTAAATATATCAAACACGCAATGCACAGGAGGCAGTATAGAAATACAAAGGGGCTGATGATCACAGAGTAACAAAGGAGTGCAAAGAGAATGAATATTTTAAAACAGCAAACGGATCATAACAGCAGACATTTAAATGTACACAGCATAACTTGACATTACAAGAAATATTACTGTCATAGAGAAAAGGTGTTTTAAGCATTCAGATTCCACTTCCAAAACCTGTATGCACAGCCATGCTTTTCCAGCCAGTTGGCATGATTTTTGCATTCTTAGACTTCAATTCATCTAGTAAAATTTGACTTTCTTTGTAGATTTATCATAACTAAGTTTCAAGATATGGTCTGAAGCTAACAACTTTTAAATAAAAACAAAGAATGCATGTGTTACACATCCTATGCCTGGCTCAGAATGAAAAAAAATAGCTTTATGATAATACCAACACATTCACAGCATTTTACTAGCACAAATTTTTAGAGGCAAAATTTAGATAGGTAGGTCTAAACAGAAATCACGTGGAAAATATTTACAAGATAAAGGCATTCAGTGATCAAAATAAATCTGTGTAACAACATTCCACACCGGCCCCTGTCAGTTTCAAACAAGTATGACAGCACATTTTCTTTCCTCCCGTACCAAACATTAGTTTGGTATAACAGGTCTATTCTAGGAACATTATCTTCTCCTTTCTTCTACCCGCTCAGTTTCAACCATTGGTGATATTTATCATCAATGATTCAGTTTCAGTTTACTTGTACCATTTTCCTTCAACACAGAAATCGCACACAACTGGAGCATTGGGAAGGTTCTTTCACATGCTCAGGGCAAACACTGATTCAAACACTCCATCAAGCTTTCTAAATGCTAAAATGAAACTGAAGTTTTGTGACATCATGGCAGAAAATGAATTTCAAGACAGTTCACATGATACTTGCCATGGCCTTTTGAGTTTGCTGGAAATTGACAGCAAGTGGGTAAGGGCTCAGATGAACAATAGAGCTGAGCTTATGAATCAAGCAATACTTAGAAATCAGTGGTCATTTCTCATCTGCAGAATGGAATTCAAGGATAAGTAGACACCTTTTCCCCTACATTATAACAGTGGCTGTAGCACAACTCTATAGTTCAACAAACTTTCCTCCACAAATCTGGCTCAACACAACAGAGGCAAGGGAAAGTTCTCAAGATAGTTCCAACACTGATGCCCTAAAATACACATTCAAGATCTCTGAGTCATTAAATATAATACAATTGCAAAAGAATGTAGTCAAAAATGTTCTACTGTAATTTGTTTTACACAGCTAATTTTTAATAGCTTTTTAAAAATATTTGATTAAAAATAGAAACCATGCGGTCAAAACAAATAACTAATGTATTATAATGTTGCAAACCCTTATGAAATATTTTAAATGTATTAAATCAAATATAAAGCTGAGCTACGAGGACCTCTCTAAATTTCCAAGGTTTCACTGGAGGAAATGAATGTGTGCGTCAAAACATCAAATCTTGCATTACTTTTTCCACAGATTATTTTTAAAAAATTAAAAAACCCACAACCAAAAGCTATTAATTTGAGTCATGCAAGGGAAAAGGGGAACATTTAATTAACTTCTCCCACACCTTCACAACAACAGGAAGAAAACCAATTGCTGCCTATGACCTTCTTAAGGGCCAGCGAAAGGAACTGTGAAAACCTAATTCTTTAATGACTTTAGGGGGAAATCCAGTCATATAACTATGTTAGGTGACAGGATCAAAACTACAGAGATGAATCAGATAGCAACTAGCTTTATTTATCTTTCTTTCCTTTTTTTGTTTGTCCAGAGTATTTGTCCAGTTGTACATATGAAAATTAGGTCCTTACTTTTGGAACAATTTGCACATTTGTCCCTGAATAAAATAAAGCTAACATGACCTTATAAACAGGCCTTTACAGGGCGAGTACTGGTTTCAGAAGGAAGAGATTAAATTCAAGAATCAGCAGTGTGTTTTTAGCTCTCTCTCTCTCTTCGTTTTTAAGTATCTTCTTTCTAAAGTAATTCTGACAGTAAGCTAACCAAGAACCATGTTTTCCCTAGTTTCCCTATGTGTAACAATAATCTATCACGACAAATGACTTGTTATTTTAAAGAACATATTGTAAAACCACTAAATAAGATAACTACATTACAAGAGCATCTTATCAGCACTTATCAACATTTCAATTATCTAATCAGCACTCGGAAATTTTGTTTCCAATTGCCTGATTCCCAGGAATAGAGTAAGGCATTATAATGCCTTTTAAATCTAACCCAAGACAGGGCAAAGTCATGAACAGGGCTGAGCACACCATCAGCAGTCTGATGACACTATCAGCTGTAAGGCTGCTTTCACTGCAGGCAAGAGAGGTTTTTCTGTTGGCTACAAAGATGGCACAGCTAGCCTAAGGTTGCCACAGCAATGTCATATGTTGCGTAACTCACAGCTAATATATAAGACCAAAATGCACATCATTTCCATTAAAGACTCAAATGCTTGCAGGATGCTTTCTGATTTTCTGTCAGAAAATATCTTTACTGTAAACCGGAGTTTCTCAAGCTAAGTACCCCCAAGTGGAGTACCCTAACTGGATTAGAAACCAGGAAATGGCAAAGGAAATAGAGTCATGACCTCAGAAAGGGGGTTATGTAAGAAGAAAAGCGTGCAAATTGCTGCCATAAATTATAGTTCTAAACTGCATAATACAGCTACAGCTGACATCATTTCAGTTCTTGGCTGGAGTCTGGAGTACACAAACCAACAAACTGCCATGACAACCTGCCAATGGAAAGCGTATTACATTGTTCCTTGATTATTGCTAAATACATCAGCTTGTTGGTGCAAGTTGTCCTGCCTCCCATTTTAATCAATAGGAGCTAAGTAGCTCAGCTTAGCAGTACAGGAAGTACTATACGTAGTGTATCATGGTAACCCAGTCGTACTCTTTCAGTAAGACAGGTCTCAAAAAGCTCATTAAAAATATTTTGATACATGACTGGTAAATACAAATAACACTTTGCTTAGTTTATGTACGTTTGAACAAAAGCATAAGTTGGGCTTTCAGAAAAGAACGCTTGTCTGTAACTGAAGTGGGGAAACGTCTGTACAGGTGCCATCCATCTCTCATTGTGCGCATTATGTTTCTCCCTGCTGGAATACTATAGAATGGGAAGATTAGCGCCTCATTTAACGACCATTTTTCGGCAAGCATGGTGAATGCGATGTCAGACAGATACAGGCACTAGAATCACACAGTTCAGTCAAAAGAACAAACAGTGGTAGGATGACAGAAGAATCTCAAGTGCATGCAAAAAAGCCATCACTGAGAAGCTTGAGTAAATGCAGAGGCCATCTTACAAGTAGCAGTAGCATACACAACGTTAACTCAGCTGCTTACCCACTAAGTACACCAAGAACCAGGTTAAGTACGAAAAATGAGCCAAGGATGATAAGACTAACAAAATAGATCCATGGCCATTCACATCCTATTGCATCATTTACCTGTAAAATGTAAGGAAATAAGTTATGATTCAGTCATTCAATAAACAGCAGAGTCCTTTTTGCAGCTGCCAGATCACGTAGGTTTCAACATTGAAACTTTTAGCTTACTTCGTTCTTTAAAAAAAAAAAAAAAAAAAAAAAAAGAACTGTCATTTAATTTCTTTACTTACTCAGATTAAATTGCAGATGCGATGCCTTATAACAGAAAATATGAATTAAGATAATACATTTAAATAAGTGCAGCAGAATTATTCATCCTTTTTATAATTTTGCCACAAGTATGGACATGAAGAATATATACAGTATGTTTAAACTCCAATTTTGGTATCTGTATGTTATTTTTATGAAAGCTACAGAAAACTGTTTCTGTTCTAATTATAGGAGGAAGAAAGAGAGTTTTATTAAGAAATGTCATCATAACTGAAGTCTCACCTGCATAAGATAACCTGTGTGTTCATGGCAACTGAATTCAGGACTCTGCCTTCATGATGAAAAAGGTGTATGCTTACCCGCTCAATACACCAAGAACAAGATTTAGTACGAAAAATGACCCAAAGATGACGAGACTGACAAAATACACCCATGGCAATTCAAATCCCATAGCATCATTCATCTGCAAGAAATAAGATGATCTTATAGAGTAGATCACTATAATAGCAGCAATGAAGTCAGAGAAAAAGAGAATTTCATCATTCAGGTGAGAGCTTTCTATGCATTCCTTCAGTATTTATCAAAGAAGAACAATATTAGAAAAGGCACTGACCACATTCACTTTGCGTTCAAACTACATGCTCTAAAAGAAAAAACTGAGTGAACCTGGCGTTCAGATTAAAAATATGAAATTAAACACAAATGGAGCACAGCAGCAATTTTGCTCTTTAACTCCTAGTACAAGAATTGAGTTTTAAATTTAGCTTGCTAATTAAGTAAAATGATGCTTACAAAGTGTATTGGAATATTAGGATTTTTAGTTCATAATATCTTAGCTATATGAATGATCCTTTGAGAAAAGTGACAGAAACATATATCTCAACAGTACAAGCAATATTTTTCCTGTAACAAAAACTTCAACAAATTTTTCCTGAGATACTAAATTTGGATGCAGTCAGATATTTTAAATTAATTGAAAAAGAAATAAATGAGAATGCATTTATGTAAAAATATGAACACAGTTTTATGAAAATGTAAAAACTGAAATCAATTTTTAAAAATATAGCAGAAACATGGAAATACTCCGAAAACATTTCTGCACCAAAATTATACCAAGATCAAGTTTAAATGAAGTTTCAAAAGTTGTTACTGACATATTTTTAAAAGGTTAAAGTAAGTGAACTTTAAATATACTATTTATAGGCTCACACAACTTTTTCTATAAAGAAATTTTCCATTGTCTGTTCTTAGCAAGCTCATTATACCTATCAGAAGATGGATTCAAGAAACATAGACATGGAAATCTAAAAAGCCCAGGAAAAAAAAGAAATATTTTGAAACACAGGGAATGGTGTGCGTGTGAAGCATTGAGGTGTAAAAAGACATTTCAGTAAGTTACCAAAGTCACTTCTGGCTTGGAACTTCCTGGAAATTTCTCTTATGACAAAGGAATTATTTCGACTTGTATGATTACACTGGCAAGTTGGCATTAGGTTCTTCTAAGGTTGATTTTTAGCCAGGAAAATTCAGCGGACTTAAAAATATCGTGAGGATTACAGACTGGATATATTATTGTAGAACAATCTTTGGGCAATCTTTTTCCTCTCCTGTGAATGCTGCTGCATGTCTGTATGTTGTATCTGAAATTCATTATTATGCTTCGAATTTTGTTGACACTCGAGTCGAGTTTGACTCCTGTCCTTAACATCTCTGTTAGGACACACAGACCCACCTTAAACATCGGAGTAAAAGTTTGACAAACAATACTTCTCATCTTATTTTTTTTAATCTTTTTAAAATGTATCTTAGTCTCTAGTTCTGCAAGGTGGTACATGATTAGCTGTAAGCATAAGCATTAAGTCTTTGCAGGTCAAGGCCCATAGGTACTTTCCTTCAATGGTGAGCTGCAATGACATCATTTTATACTAAGTAAACTGAAATTCCCAAATAACTAAAAAAGATTGTTACACGCTTTCGTCATGTGTCTTTTAAAATAACCCTTCTATACATCATCTATTACGATGTTTTAGTAATTTAACTGCGGTACTGAAAAGTAACTTACAGTTTTTATTAGACTTGCTAGAAAAAAGAAAAACTGTAAAATATTTATTTGATTTGTATTTTTTTCCTCTTAATTTCAATAAAATTGTATTTTGGAGAACCCGAAGTGGAGAAGGGCTACCACCATTCAGAAAGGCAAGGATCATTGCCTTCAATTTGAAAGGACTTCAAGTTTCCACAGTCCAACCATACAACAGAATGTTCATGTGAAAAATAAGGTCCGTCTTTCTTAATGCTGCCATTACATTACCTTTGTAACTCAGTAACTGCCTTTACTCAAACTAGGTTTCCCGTGCGATTATTTTAGCAATATTCAGCATGTCAGGTGCCTATGCCAAGGGGAGAGAATTATTTTTTTTAAAATCATCCATTTTTCCTGCTCTAAATTATCTTGAAAAATCGGAAAGTGAGTCATGCAAATCTCACTTTAAGGAAAAAGGTTTTGAGAAAAAAGGAGCTCTGAGAATTATTGCAACCCAACTTGATACATAATGCATAATATATGAAGGAAAAAAATTCACATTTATGCAATTTGATTTTTTAGCTCCATCTTACAGGGCTAATCTAACTCAGACTAATGCTCTGTGATGTGAAAATTGGAAACTGCAGCTAACCAGTACTAGAAGAAGTGTTTTGGTTTTGGCAGATCATGAACGAATTCAAAAGCCTTGCTAACTCGGGAACCACGAATCTAGTACATCATCTTGCCAATAATCTAAGACTGAATTTTTAAGAGCAAAAGCCTGAAACTGCTTCAGGTCAAGATTTTTACCATTTAAATCTAGACAGTTAAACTCTATCCAAGGAATGCATTGTACTTTCTATTCGTGAAGTAATATTCCTATTACAGCAACAGCAGAGAGATGACAGTATAAAAAGAAGTCCTACCCATTTGGAAAACTTTACTGCTCCTTTTATGGATGTCAAGTGGCATTTCCCACAAGTTTCAATTACTGAAAGATTAAAGGAGTCAGATTGCCTTCTGATTGAAAATGGAAGCAGAGCTTAGTTAGTATATGAGCAGAGAAAAATCTCCATCCTCAGAAATAAGGCATTTTCAGTTGAAAAGATTAATGCTAACTTCACACTTGAAGTACAGAATAAGGAGTTAAACAGACATAAATTCTAGATCTATTGGGAACTGCAACTAAACATAAAACAATAAGACTCTTTAAATTATGCTATAAATAAAACTAGGAAATCTAGGAGATAACAGGTCTTTATAAATGCTCAAATAAAAAGCCTTCCAAAATTCCCACCACCGGAGCCTCACTGATGCACTACATCCATGACACCTAGCACAAAGACGTTTCCATGTGCTATCCTTCTTACCCTTCTCTGTGCCTTTTTCAAATTTACCGTTTTGATTTCATTTCTAATTAGTTTGTCCATCAGATTAGTTTGTCATCCAGATGATGGGCTAGATGATGGATTAGATTATATGAAAGATAACATGAGTATTTTTCAAATAACTTAATTTTGTTTCACAGTAGTGGCCAGTCCCCCAATAAGTAGATGTGTACCAATCAGTACTAATATATTCTAGAGAAGCTACTTCGGGCTACAGCCTGGCATTTTCATTACTTTCAAATAGATGTTTAATTAATTAAGAGTTTTCATGTTGTACATTTAAATGGCTTTGAGAAGCATTCTGAACTGAACTTTGAAGCTCTTCCTGTCCCTTTCATGAGGCACACAGTAACGGACAGCTCAAAAGTCCTTTTTACAAAGGATGCGTCTGTTGACAATCCTAGATTTGGAAAAAAATTGCTCTGGGTAAATTAAATTGGTAGAGAATAAAATCTCCTTTGCATATTTGACTCTCTATATTTACATGTATATATTTGAGTGTATTTCTGTAGTCTGGAAAAGTTATCTTGAGCTGATGGGCCAAATTTGGTACAATCTGAATCCGTCTTATCTGGAATTTGGGGTGAATTATCTTGCTAGTTGTGCTGCAATTGGAATGAACTGTCCTCCAATGCAGCGTAGATGATCAGAGATCAAGAGTCTGAAGTGAAACAGGGAGGAAGGCAAATTTACAGCATAGCCATAAGCATTACACAGCCACAGATTTGATTATTATAGAAATCCCATTTACCCTTATTGTGAGTAAAATTCCTATATGTGATTGCATGCAGATCAAGGCCTTACTTTGCTGAAAATCCGGTACTGGTTTACTGACACTTTTTGCCAACTCTTTGAATGTATTGATTAATCCAACCCCTAGCTCAGGATAATGATAGAGCAATGCAATAACACCTCTACTATTACATATATAAAACCCTAATGCACAAATGCATTATGCATTTTTATTTTCCACAATTTTTCAAATTCATTTAATTTCTTAAGCTTATTTATGCTTATTTTCTTATTTTCCTTAGTTTTCAATTTTGCCTTCCTTTTATAACATTTTAATAGATACATAATTGGTGGATTTATCTATCTCTATCTAAAACACCCCTGGTAACATCTTAAAATGATTAAGAACTACAAACTCAGTCTCTTGAAGGGTGTAAAAGTCCTTCAGAAACCAGTATTTCATGAAATGGGAGGGATCCTTTTTTTTTTTTTTTTTTTTGAAGTGTGCACTGTAGGTTCAAAAACCCTTACATCACAGACAATCCATTCTACTCATTTTAGAGCATACCAGGCAGCTTTTCGAAGCCTGCTAGCTTCAAAGCCTGTGTCCTGATATATTCTTGGCTGAAGTGGAGTCAACTTAAAGCTGGCTTAAAAGGGGCTGTATTTGAAGCATAGCAGCCTCCAAACTGGTTTGCGAAAACATG